CATAAGCTCACTGTAACATTCTCTTTGGTTTCTGGGAAATTATGGTAGTAGAAAAAAAAAAAAACATAAAAAAGGATAGCTAGAACATACCTTTTATTTCAGATTACATGGTGTCACCTATTTTAAAACAGACTTTATAAGCTAATACAATTAGCATTCTTTCTTGTCATCCTCAGGATAATGTAATTACATAACTACCTCACAAAGTTAATGGGTGACCTGTAACATTACTGAAAGTAGTCAGGTCCTTTATGTAAATATATTGGAGTCTGCAGACCAAAAATATAAGTACTAATGTCAACACTCAATTGAACGAGCTGTGCATTTTTGAAGATTATTTGCTACATTAAAAAAAAAAAAGAAAAAAGAATGAATCTATGGGGCACTGAGTAACAAGGTTATTTGAGCTGGTAGGCATGCAGCCATGTAGTTAAAATTAAAGAGCATTGAGATGGACTTTATAATCTTTGTTTCAGAAGTGTTTTTTTGAACTGATTCTCTGACAATATTTATCTGTTTAAGACCCCTTGTGATACTGAGAACAATCAGTCTTAAATGTAAACTCTCCTATATAGGCATAGTTTAGATGAATTGTCATTCTCCATCTATTTTTTATGGATTTTGGTAGGGAATTTTACTGTCTGGGTAGAATGAGGTTAACTATTATTACAGCACTGCACTGGTGCTGTTTGCAAAGACAGTGCTAACAACTCAGCAGTGTTTTGAGTATTTCTGAGCAGTGCTTGCACAGCATCAAGGTCTTCTCTGTTTCTTGCTCTCTGCCCTGCTCTGTTAGGAGGATGGGAGTAGGATGTGGGAGTAGGATGTGAGTGCTCTAAATTGACCAGAAATATATTTCACACCATGGGATGTCATACTCAGACACAAGGGATGTTTCCCAGCTTTAGAAGGGATGTTTGTGGTTATGATGTTTATCTTCCCAGAAAAATTTTACATATACTGGGGTCCTGCTAAAGTGGGCTATACATAGCCTGACAGTGGGAAGTAATTAATAAATTCCTCTTGTTTGCACACTTAGCTTTTGCTTCACTTTTAATGCACGGCAGAAGGTAATGAGATGCTGGATGGTGACTACTCTTTTGTGCCCATCAGTGATAAAGATAAATCATAACATGTATTTTCAGGGAGTGTAGTGTGGGTTTTTGGGGAATTTGATGCTGTTATTGAAGCTTGACCGCTGTGCAACTGTTTGAATGCTACCAGACGGACACTGTAGCATGGTATTTTCTTATTTTGAAAAATATCAAAAGCTAGTTCAGAAGAATGAATAAGGACCTGCAGTGTCATCCAGTCTGCCTCTCTTCAAATAAAACCCTCTGAACACAGGAAAAAAAAAAATCCAAAACAAAAGAAACAAACAAAACAGAAAAATTAACAGTTTGATTCACAGCAAATAATTTTATCCAGAGTACCTAGAGATCAGATGTCAGTTCTCATCTCCAATACAGACAAGTGCAGTGCACCATTAGGAAATTCAGAATGTGAGTTTAGATGGCAGGAGAAGAATAACCCTAGTGAAGGGAAATTTTCTCTCAAGACTCATTTTCCAGAATAAACCATCTGAACTATACATAAAGCTTAATGACTAATAGCCTTTTAGCACTGGTAGAGTTAAAATAATGCTGAAATTGCTGTTGATTTTTTAATAAAAGCTGAGTCTGTGCAAAGCCAGGAATGAAGGAAAATATCACCAGTATTTTGTTTTATTCGACAAATGCATACTACATGCTCAATGGCCAGTCTTTGAAACTCCAGCCTACGGATGTCAGCCAAGACACCTTTAAATCAAAGGCAAGAAAAGAACCAGCTCTCCAAGGCACATTTTCCTTTGTGCTATGGGTTGGTTAAGGTTGAAATGTGAGCTCCCTTGTCTTTGGCTTCGTTTGAAGTTTGATCCCTAGATCAGTCCCTTCTGCCTTCTCAGTTCCTACTCACTTACTGCTATGTGCCATCTCTGCCCTAGGAAGATTTGTTTCATGCTGCTGCACAGGTTATATCTTTTTCAGATTATAGAAACATATAACTTTCAGACTTTTATGACAATCTGACTATATATTTACATTATTCACCAAATTCTTAAGTTCTGTCTTGAATACATATAAAAATATTTACTTCATTGATATGTTTTTCACATAGTATATGTGGTAGTACAGACTGACTACTTTATTTCTGTAACATTTTTCTGTAACATTTATGTCCTATGTTTTCAACTGCTTTATTCTTGTGTTTATACCTTATGTTCTTATGACCCACACTCTTCCTTTATAGGAGTAAATACATTGCAAAATCTCATATTCCACAGTCTGGCATGACCTTTTAGAGAATAGGATGGAATTAATAAGGATTAAGTGTATTTTACTTGGGTTGGAGTGATCAATTGTATAACCATATGATGGGGAACAGTGGGTTAGGGAACTGTCTTGATACTGATCTTAAGCCAATAGATCACAAGCTGAACATGGGATACCAATGTCATGTCCTGTGCAAAAGGCAAATATCATTCTAATGTATTTAAATACCACTTTAGCTCATATGAAATGTGAATATCCCATAAAACCTTTTCAACATTACTGAGGTTTTAGCTATCAAACAGTGGTCAGTTTGGGTTACTGTGGTTAAGAAAGATATGTACAAATGGGATGCTAGAGACAGCTGTGAGATGATAATCAGGCATAAAAAGGAATGAACTAAGAGGAAAAAGAAGAAACCTGGATATTTTTTTCAATAAATTGAACTTAAAACTTTTTTCCAGAGATGGCATAATAATAGTTTTTACACAAAGGATAGGGTAAAAGATTTAGATCACAGTATGAAAGATTCAGATATAATTACTATTAATCGCTGCAGAGCTGAATTTTCAGAAGCACAGAATTACCTGGATAGGCTGAAATCTGAAAATCATTAAGGTAACATTAGACTGTTGTCTCTTTAGACTGAGTCTGCCTGAGTATGAAATAGATAGACTGGATAACTTTGAAGGATCATTCTTTTTCTACTATGATTTATTAATAAAAATATGTTTTGAAGATTTAACTTGAATTGTGAATTGGTGGGATATATTTTATAGTATAAAGACAGAGCATAAACTTTTACCATGAAAAAGAGGAAAACAGCTCTTGTGTTTAAAAGGTTAAATATTTGGGACATTAGAATTTTCTGATTAGTTCTACTCAAATGAGGGCATGTGTGTTTCTACAAATGAGTGTATATGTGGTTTTACTACCATACCAATGACATCTTTTAATGGTGCTTCCTTTGTTAAATATTTGATTCTCAGGCAATGGGTGGCCATCGTTACATACAAAATGTGTGTTATCAGTATAGTCTTCTACATACTTTGCAAGGTCCTGCATCAATCAATCAGGATATGTAAATGTAATCAACATAAAAAATGTCTTAGCTAATGTGTATTTTATCTTTTCTAACATTATCTGTTTATTAGAAGATGTTACATGGAATGTTGGGTGATAAAACAGAAGACAGGCTGTGTATAGTCTTAAGTCAGTTATAAAAGGCAACCGGTTTTTCATCTGTTCCCCAACAGACATTTGGTTACATAAAGAGATATTTTCCTGTCCATTTCCTGTCTTGATCACTTTTTGTTCAGTCTCTGGTACTCCTGAAAAACTGTAAAAAATACTATATGGAAGGAAGATGTATTTCTCTTGGGTACTGAGTAGATTGCTGAATCATTTCAAAATTTTCAGGCCTGAGAATCAATCTAACCAACTGAATTCTTAAAAGCTAAAACAGAGAGCCATAAAAATGAAATGGAAGGATTTATACAGTTTAGAATATGCAAGCTATTGTCACACATGCATGCACTTGCACACACACAAAGTTTTGTTCTATCAAAACTTCTGTAAAAGCATACACATAAGTATACACATAAAGTTCAGCTATTGTATCTCAGGATATATAACTTTCTAAAACTTTTATCCATAGGAATCCATCAAGCTGTTTGTTACTTTCTTGTCAATATTTTTTGCTGGAGCTGCTCCACTGAAAGAATTTCTTTCATGTGTTTTAATACAAGCATACATTTTCATGCAGCTGTTAAAATCTGAATCATTATTGCTCTTATTATGAAGGCAATATACCTTGCATACAAATCTCTTCTCTTTCAAATGTTTTACTTAAATGAATCAAAATGAAACTCATTTAAATGAAATATATATATATATATAACTTATTTGCATTATGTTATCAATCATTTCTCTTTAAACCTGAACCCTCAGAATCTGTTTATGCCAGTGATACTATATTAAAGATAAACATATAATCACAATAAAGGCATTTTACTAATGTATTACACGCTTCCATCAGTAGAAAATAATTTTGGTGATATAATATTAGCGCAATGCCACAATAACAATGCATTATTTACTGTAAGTAGGTTTCAAATTATAATAAAGCACACTTTTCTAAGTGTGTGGCTTAAAAAGAGCTATTAATAAAAAATAAATAAAATAGTTATATGAAGATGAGTTATGTATGCTTCAAACATCCCTTCTCAGTTTGTGGTCTGAGAAAATACTTGAACTCTTTGTCAGAAGTACAAACAATCATGTTTAAATAATATTACTTTAGGATGTTGAGGTATTCCTGTCCCAACTGCAGTGAAATGTGGTTTATGAGGACTGAAAAAGTTCACTTCTGATACATAGTGAAGACATAGTGAATACACTGGGAGTAGTTGTGGTGCAAGGGCTCCCCAAAGAATAATGCCCTCATGGGTCAATTCTGACTTACACAGAGAACTTTGAAATAGCAATTATTTCATAAATATTTTACAAGAACAGCTAGCACAAAAAAAGAGCGGTGGAGGGAAGTTGGGTTTTGTTTGTTTGTTTGTTTGTTTTTTTGTTTGTTTTGTTTTGTTGGTTTTGTTTGTTTGTTTGTTTGTTTGTTTTTATTATAATTTCTAATACAGACACTCTCCAAAAGAAAGAGGACTACAGTTTTCAAAGTCATTGTGTTTATGTATCAAAGTGGCTGCGGCGGCTCTGTGAGGGGAGGCCGGGGCTGACACAGCCGGTTCCAGCCGGACACAGCCAGGCACAGGCAGACACAGCCGGTTCCAGCCGGACACAGCCGGTTCCAGCTGGACACAGCCGGTTATAGCCAGACACAGCCGGTTCCAGCTGGACAAAGCCAGGCACAGCCGGACACAGCCGGTTCCAGACGGACACAGCCAGGCACAGCTGGACACAGCCGGTTCCAGCCGGACACAGCAGGTTCCAGCCAGACACAGCCGGTTCCAGCTGGACACAGCCAGGCACAGCTGGACACAGCCGGTTCCAGACGGACACAGCCAGGCACAGCCGAACACAGCCGGTTCCAGACGGACACAGCCGGTTCCAGCTGGATACAACAGCCCACTGAAGGGCACGGTGGAGCCCAGAGCTGAGGCAGGGGCAGCACTGGGGAAAAAGTGAGGAAAAAAGGAGAGGAAGAAAAAAGCAAGTGGGAAAAACATTTTTGCTGATACAGAGGTGAAAGATGAAGGAGGGGAGAAGGTGTTACAGGTGTGGGAGCACAGGTTCCCTTGCAGCTTATGGAGGAGCCCTTGCAGGGCAGCAGCCGTTATTGGAATAGGTGTTTGCACTTGCAATCTTATGAAATTAATGAAAAAAAATTAGTTTTATAATTTTTGATTAGAACTGTTGGTAGCTTTGCATATTTTTGAAGAAAAACATTAGAAAATTTTGTGTGAGTGAAGCTTGACATGATACAGTAGCCAACTAGGCAGCATTTTCTTTGGCAGTAGAGAGAAGCCATCCTGGGAAAGTATTACATTCCACTGGAATAATGTTAGGATCCCACTCCTAACACCAATTAAGGTTATGATCCTCTGGAATAATACTAGGATTTGGTTATTAAATATGACTGCATGAATTAAGAGACCTTATGCTAAAGTGAATAGTATGGATCGCATTTAACAGTAAATGTGAGAGAAAGAAGTAGAAATAAGAATGGGGTGGGAAGAAAGAGAGAAAGATTATAGTCATCACCATGTGTCCCCTTGTCCTTCTTCTGGTCTTCTGAGTGGTAGGATCCCCAGAGTGTCCTTCTGAAGAAACCACTTCTATACAGTCCTAGTCACAGAATCACAGAATCAGCTATGTTGGAAAAGACTTTTGAGATCATTGAATCTAACCTATGTCTTAATACCACCTTGTCAACTAAACCATGGCACTGAATGCCACACCCAGTCTTTTCCTAAACACCTCCTCAGATGGTTACTTCAGAGTAATATATGCCATTCCCATAACTTGGGATGGCATGTGTGTACGCAGTTGCTTCCTCTCCCACAGTTTTCCATGATGGGAACTTTTGTCCAAACAGAATACTCAAATCTGCTTCAACCGGCCTTGCATCTTCCTGTTGCATCCATGCTTTTCCCACGGTCTGCATAGTGTAATCTTGTCCAGTGTGCTAACTCCAAACATTTCATCTTCTTTTAGTCCTGAAATTAATGCCTTCCTGTTTGTCATCTGTGCCTGCTGTGGTGGCTTATTTTGTGAGGACTTCCTCCTACAACAGTGCTTTGAGACAAGCTGGCTGCATTCTTTAGATCCTGACAGAAGGATACTGTAGAGACTAATCTGGAAGGAAAGCCTGTATAAAGGAGAAGGAAAGAGTATGTAAACATTCAGCCACTGGGAGCTGTGAAAGCCGGAGAATAGACAGAAGCTTAATGCACTGTAGCAATGTCTAAATTACTAGGACAACAGCTTTCTTTGTCTCCATAGGGAAGTCCCACATTGGTTTTTGGTTGGTTTTTTTTTTGGCTGTAGGAAAGTTTCATAACAAAGGAGTATCACTTTTGTTAACAGGGACATTTTCTGAATGATTTGGTATATCCTCTGCAGTTCATCTTTTCCACATTGCTACACAGTGCAATATATGAACCAGGACAGACCTTAAAAATTATTTATCCTTAGACAAAAACTCCTGTAAACCAAAACAACTGAAAACTGTGATGGAACTACACTTGAGAGGAAATTTGATTTTATGGAAGGGTGAGATGAAGCAGGCCTTACTTTTTTCCCAGTTTCCCTAGTCTCTGGATCTTTTTTCTTTGCAATCTTATTCCTACAGATATTGTGGAGATAATCTAGACAACCAGTTCCCATGCCTGTGTGCTTGTCTTCATTATGACGCTCTGAAGTCTGCATATATTGAGAAAGAATTTAGGCTGTTTCAGGGGAAAGCAAGTTGTAACTCACAATTTATATGCACATCTGAGATTTCAGAACAGAGATAATTGATTCCTATGTGCCTATTACCAAAATGAACAATACTTAGATTAAGAGGTTTAAGTTTGTATTTTGTATTTGGTTTGTTTTGATTTTACTTGACGGTGAGTGCTGAAAGATTTTTCCTTTTTTTTCTTTTTTTGTGTGTGTCTTTGGCCCTTTAATATAATATAACTTTGTCTAATCTAGCCTTTGCCAATACATGCCTGTATCACATGCTTCTCACTGTCCCTCATTGAATCAATTCTAATTTGCATCTGCTCTATCATGTCCATAATTTGTCTTTCACAAAGTCATGGCTCATAGCTTCATTAATCATGCCAAAATTTCTAACTTTCAAAGTTCCTGTGGATAGCTTGGGTGCTGATGGGGTGGATTTTAGTGTTGAAATTCATCACTTGTGTTGTAGTGTTTTTGAATTCTGGAGAGGTATGTTTGCTTTTCATCATGCAGACACTTATTCACTGACTTACTTGGAGAATGTCGTGCATATTAACAGAAAGGAATTTCTCATCTAAAGCTTGAATACATTATTTATAATTACTGTTATTATTGATTATGTCAATGTTATATTGTTGATGTATCTGTGAATATGGTTATTATTTTCCCCTAAAACTGGAATAATAATTTTGGAATCTGAATTGCTATTTTCTACACTTCCAGTGGGTGACTCTGGACACATTGATTAGAACTTAGGACTCAGGTTTTTTTCTGAGTTCATCTACCATAATGAAACGGTTAGAAAAATACCTGGTTTGAATATGCAGAGCATAATAGTTCTGTTTCCTAATTTCCCTGTATTTGACTTTACGTGCTTCCAGTACTCTTTGTACCTATCTCAGGAAGTAATTAATTTTTTTAAATGAAATTTGATTATGCATATCACATCTAAATACATGCAAACACAGATACAAGAGTTCTTTCTTTCTAGCTGTATATTTTAACAGGAAAATGTCTTTGCTCTCTAACTTCAATAAAAGAGTACTAAGGAGTAACCTACCTTATCCCATAAATATTTAGGGACATTACATAAAGGGAAATATCTCTTATGAAAAAGAAATCGTAATTTACATGTTTGAATGAGACTGCTCTTCAAGTTTCTTACTCAGCCATGTGAAGGTAGGGAGAAAAATTCTGTACAATGGAATCTCAACTATTGCATTTACATACGCAGATGAATAGGCGATGGAAGAGTGGGAATTTATCAATTTGATTATGGAACATAATTTCTAGATTTTATATAGAAATCCAAATTGTAAGCAATTATTATTACTAGTGAGAAATACAGTTGAAACCAAAGGAAGATAGATAAAATTTGCAGAGACATTCCTTAAGTTTCTATTATCTTTTAAGACGTATATAATGTTTAAACTGTTATTCAAATTTTTAATCTAAGTTTATATTTCAGGAACATGATCTAAAAAAACCCCAATGTCCATTAAATGTGGTTTTCTGAAAATATATTATACTGTTCAGATTAAAAATGGGGCAAGAATAATAAAACTGGGAAAGCTAATAGCAGGCTCTCACAATTATTATCTCATCTGTAAGGCAGACTAAACCCAGTATAGATCCCATGAGATATTATAATTTATATTATTTAATTTATGAAATAGGAGTTATGTCACATACGCCAAATGTTGCTCTCTTTAACTTGCTCACTCATATTGTATAAATTTATTCTTTATCACATCTAAAATCCATTACCATGTTACTCATAACAAGTATTCATAAATTTTACGCTCTATTTTCTCTTTCTGAAAGATATTAAATGTATATGTGAAGTCATCCCAAATTTTAGTTGAATTCCAGAAATTTTCACATTTTGAAAATTAAGTTTTCAAGGTACATCTTATATTTGCTATGGAGACATAGTTCACATAAACCATCTAAATAAATCATAACATTTTTCATTTTTTATTTCTTTGTAGTATAGCAAGAAATAGAATGCAGACCAGTAATTAATAATTTTAATGTAATGTAAAACACAGTATGGCTATGATTACAAATTTCTTCAGTGAGTTTTGTTTATGGGAAGTGACTCTTCTGAACTTCAACAGTACATTGAAAGTTATAAGATCTGCTAGATTTTATCAGAAAAGAAAAAGTTTAATCTTTCTTAAGTGATAAAGATTTGCTGATTTTAGATTATCATAATCTGTCTCACCCAAGTAAAGTTAGGTAAAATGACATATTGGGTGGCAAGACTTACCAGGGAGAGTTCCAGCATGGCATTTGAAAAATAATCATAACTAAACAATTCATTTTACATAGACTGTGAGTACAATTTCAGAGACTGTATTCTGATGACATGAACAATTTCTTTGGCACAATTGCTTGTTAACATCTTTGAATTTTTAAAAATTTTTTTTGAAGAAAACACATTTGATCTTCCTGGGCCAAAAAGAACCTAATCTAAAACAGGAGTTTCTCATCCATGATAGAATGAATAAGAAAGAACAGTGAATTTGTCAGTAAAATTAACAGCTGCTATTGTATTCAGACAACTATAAACTGTTATCAGCACAGAAATCAGTCAAAAAGGGACAGATTGATGTATGAATAACAACTTTTGATTTAGCTGAGCAATACATAGCTAAAAATGTTTAGCATTTTTCCAAAGTGAAGAGTGTATAAATGCTAAAGGATTTGTAGAAATTTAAAACTCTTCAAGGAGATACTTTTAAAGGGCTGGTTAAAACTCCCAGGAAAGATTTCCAAGAACAGTCTCAATAGATAGCCTTAGAAACAGTGGAAAATAAGATTAATTAGAGTTAATCAGAAACTTCTTCTGTCTGCAGTTTAAACTAGAAGAGATTATCTAGAACAGAATAGAATAGAATTATTCTGTCATGCTACTAGAAACTGAAAAGGAGAGACAGGGACATATATTATTCTCAGTTTCCACCATTACAACATGGTAGTATCTCTGCAGAAATTATTTAAATATCGTTGGTTTTATACCAACGTAATTGAATGGGTTTAGCTAATGGTAAAGAATGACATCTGTGGGCTAATGCATGGGACTCGTGTTTGTCAGTTTGATAAACATCCAGTAGTGGAATGCCATCAAAGGAGCTTTTTTGAAGAGTAATCTCTTCATTGGAACTACTTGTTGAAAAACACCAGCTTCAATTGTTGCAG